GATACATGGGCGCCTCCCGGCGCCGAGGCGCCCGGAAAATCAGCTACGCGAGCTGATTCTCAAACTCCCCCTTGCTATCCCCCCCTTTCGCCCGACCCGATTTTGGTTCCTCCTCCTGGAGTCTCGTAGGATGCCTCTTGGGTTTGGGGGGCCTCCCGGAGGCCTCCGCGGGCCCGTTGGGCGCCCCTCCTCCTCCCCCTCCTCCTCCCCCTCCCCCTCCTCCTCCTCCTCCTCCTCCTCCTCCTCCTCCTCCTCCTCCTCCTCCTCCTCCTCCTCCTCCTCCTCCTCCCTTCTTGGAGGCTTCTTGGAGGTCTCCTGGGGCCGCGTCGGCGCCTCTGGAGGGCCTCTGCGAGGGGCCTCCTGCGGTCTCGGGGGCCCGTGGCCCCCCGTCCTGGCACTCGGCGGCCCCAGGAGCCGCGGCGGCTGGGCGGCATCACCGGTGCGCAGGGGGGGCAGAGGGATCGGGAGCCTTGAGACGGGGGTCAATGCAAACGGGGGTCAGCCAGGGCGCCAGATCCTGCAGGATCCTGCGAAGACCCCCTCTGGCTGACCCGGGTTTGGGAGCCTCTCGTGGCCGCGAGGCGGCCGCACATATTGGCTGACCCAGGATTGCGAAGACTTGCGTTGCAGTTTTTTTTTCCTGCATTGCAGTTTTTGGTTTCCTGCTGACCCGGGTCTGGATTGACCCGGGTCAGAAGATCCCCGAAGGGATCGGGAGCCTTGAGACGGGGGTCAATGCATTTTGTTCTTGCATTGCAGTTTTTGGGTCTCCTGCTGACCTGGGTCTGGGTTGACCCGGGTCAGAAGATCCCCGAGGGAGTCGGAGTTGGTGTCCTGCGGGGCACTTCGTGGCTGCCTGGACCGTGCCCTTCGTGGGCCCCGGAGACGGCAACAGGGCCGTTTTTCACCGCTTCCCAAAATAATGTCCCTTGAAAAGGGACACGGCCAAAAACGGCGACCAGAAACGGCAAAAAAACGGCTCCAGGATTGGAACCGGAGCAGGAACCGGTCAAAAAACGGCGACGGAACCGGTAAAAAAACAGCGTCGGAACCGGCAACAAAAACGGCAAAACGGAACCGGTAAAAAAACGGCCCTGTCGTTTCCAGGGCCACAGAGGGGCAGAGGGAGTCGGAGCTGGTGTCCTGCGGGGTATACTGCGTGGCTGCATGGACCGTGCCCTTTGTGGGCCCGGAAACGGCGGGGCCTTTTTTTCACCGTTTCCAACAACAATGTCCCTTGAAAAGGGAAACGGCAAAAAATGGCGACCGGAAACAGCAAAAGAACGGCTCCAGGATTGGATTTGGAGCCGGAACCAGTCAAAAAACGGCGACCGAACCGGTTAAAAAATGGCGTCGGAACCGGCAAAAAAGTTTCCAGGGCCCACTAAGGGGCAGAGGGAGTCGGAGCTGGTGTCCTGCGGGGTACTGCGTGGCTGCATGGACCGTGCCTCATGCACAGCTTTTCCGCTGGTCTGGACAGCGCTTCAGGCGTTCACGGAGACAGCGTTTTGACCTCGTGTGCCTCGCGAGCCCCGTGCGGGGTTGCTGATTTTTGCAACTGACCCGTCCGCGGGCACTCCGCAAGAAAGGCTTAATTTCTCTCCACAGCATTCTTGGGCGTCAAGAGATGTCCGCGTGCGTCTCAACAGGTGTACGCGCCAGGAACAGGCAGTCAGATGTGTTTTTGACTGTGGCTCGGATGCTCATCCGCCTTGGCTCTTCCTTTTCGGTTCCCTCATTTGTTTTCTTCTTTTCATCAGCATCGTCATCGTGATTGTCGACTTTCTCATCAGCATCATCATCGTCATCATCATCATCGTCATCACCATCACCACCACCACCACCATCATCATCATCATCATCAGCATCAGCATCAGCATCAGCATCATCATCATCATCATCTTCATCGTCATCTTCATCTTCATCTTCATCTTCATCTTCATCTTCATCTTCATCATCATCTTCATCTTCATCTTCATCTTCATCATCATCATCGCCATCAGCAGCAGCATCATCATCGAGCCGATTTGGCCCAATAAACTGCTTGCATTACTTCTGGGGCCGCCCAGGCTGCAGCTTGTTCTAAAGTCAAAGCATGATTCGTCCTGTGCTGGAACCCTCGGCCATGAACAAGATGCTGCAGCTGCGCATCAGTGGTGATATTGCGCAAGCTGTGTACAGCATCTGACCGCTGATGGCGGCCACCTTCACTCAACAGGGGCTGCGGGAATGTGTTTCTGGGTTTTTGCTCTACCAGAAGGTCCCGCTGATTTCCGTGCTGGTACTGGTGGCGGTGGACATTGCAGTTCTCCTGGCGATGATGGGCACGACGATAATGATGACCATGACACACACCTCTTGGCTGGCGATTTCAGCGTCATCGGCCGGCCTCCGAGTGACGGTGCTGTTGGTTCTTGGCACGCCGCTAGGGGCGGTCCGTGGTCGCAGGCCTTTTCGGGCAGGAGTGGTTTCGGCCCCCATTGCCAAAGCTACGGGGACATTCAGTGACGTACCGGATGCCATGTTTCTGTTTTCCCGCAGTGCATCGTTTTTCGTTCATCTCGGATGCGGAGGTCTTCGTGTTTAGGGATGATGTTCTTCCTCTTCGCACAGATCTACTTGAGCTACCTGTTCGTGCAGAAGTTCGTGCAGATTTACCTGTCCATGCAGATCTACCTGACCTACTTTTTCGGGCCGATCTACGTGTTCGTGCAGATTTGTTTCGCGTGCAGATGTACTTGTTGCTACTGTTTCCCGGCCGTTCCTCCAGGGCTCGCTGGACCAGATAATTGTCGCGATTGTGGAGTCGTGTGGTGCGCATTCTCCTGACGACGGTGGGGCGCTTCTTGGCGGCAGATTGCAGCGTCTTCGCAATGACGGTGATTTTCCGTGCGCCTGGGGTTGAGGCTGTTCGTGTAGGTTTACATGGCCCAGGTCGTTTTGTTTATGCGAATGTCCGTGTTCGCGCGGGTCCTCCCAGATTTTTGGTTTTGCAGATGTGTAAATCTACGTGCCCGTGCCGATCTACATGTTCGTGCAGATTGTCCATTCCCTTCAGAACTACCTGTTCGCGCAGATCTACCTGTTCGCATATTTTTTTAGCCCCGCTCTGGCCAGATATTATGCGCTAGTGCAGATTGTTATCAACAGGCATGGACCGAGCACTCCCCTCGGAACGCATGGTGGATGCGGGCGCCAAAATATGTTCCTCATCGCCGCCACATCATTTTATATCTATCGTTTTTCAAGTCTGCACTATCCCTCGTCCGTTTCCTCCATCTCTCTTCAATCATCCTCGTTCGTCGCAGTTATTAGTGCGGTGGCCTCGCCTTCAGCTTTGACTAGCAGCATCCGCGTCGCATTTTGTGGGGTGAGTTGTTTTGGGCGGATCACGTGGTTAGGCGGAGGCGTAGGGTTGCGTTTTACGTTGGGCGCGTGAGGTGTGTTGTCGATGCGCATTGGGGGGGGGCACAAACTGTCGGGTGGGGAGGGCGGGGTGTGTGCTTGCAGACCAGTGGGGGCCTTGTGTTTTCTCATTAGTTTACCCCTTTTCCGTCGTTGCCGTCGCCCTTACATGGGAACCCCGCTGCCGAGCAAAGCATTGCATTTACGGAATCGGATTTCTTCCAGAAGGATTGGCTGGGCCCCGCGATGGTTGTCAACGTTTCCGCCTGGTGCCGCCTCGTTGCCGCCTCGTGCGCTGGGTGGGGTGGTTTTGGCGAGATTTCGCCACATTGCTGCCTCATTGCCGCCTTGTTGCCGTTGTGTTGCCGCCTGGTCCGTCGAAGTTTCGCCACGTTGCCGCCCGTTGGCGCGTCGTTGCCGCCTCAGGTGGTGGGTTGGTCCAGCGGGGTGTTTCCACGTTGGCACCTATTGCCGCCTAAATGTTGTTTCGTGGGCGGGGTGTGTTTGGCGAGGTTTCGCAACGATGCCGCCCGCTGCTGCCGCGTTGCCGCCTCCAGCTTGTACCACTTATACCGCACCACACAGCTTTCACCATATAGTTTGCACCATACGGCTTACACATCCACAATGGGGTCCACGCTGGTTAAAATTGGCAGAGATCGTGCGTTGGTGCACCACTGGCGTGCGTACGTGATGCGAGATGCAGGGTCAAGGCGAGTCATCGTCATCGCTCAAAGGGAACGTTTCAGCGACTGGCACCGCCCCTTGTCCGAATGTTCGGCGCTTACGTTCGCCTGCCCAACTGTAGACGACCCGGCATGTTCTCATTGCTTCTGAGTGTTTGTGATGTTCAGGCACGCGTTTGGGGAACGTTTTTGCTCACGCGGGGCTTGATCCGCCTCCGGAGGAGGGCCTATCGCCCCAAGTGGCCTTTCTTGGGGCCTGAGTCAGCCATGACGGTGCAGACAAAACGGGCTCCTTCGGATGCCACGTTTGGGAGGTCAGGTTCTGACTTTGCCTTGGTCCAAAGTGCCGCTTCATCAAGCTTACTTTCGATTAATCCGGCTCAATCCCGTGCAATCTGGCTTAATCTTAATCTCGCCTAATTTGTGGCCCAATTTGGCGTAACAGCCCCTAATGGGGGTTCATCCCTAATCCTTCCTACGACGACCTCCCAGTAGTTGCCTCCTACGGTTTCTGGGTAAGCAGGCGTTCCTTCTTCAGGTCCCCAGTGCCATGCCTCCCCGTCGAACGCCGCTGGCCCACTTGAACGCGGGATCAGACTAAGCAGATGGCTCGCCCTGTCGGCGTCGCCCTCTTCCTGCTCCCTCCCATCCCGTCGGTCCTCTCCCTCCTTTGACCCCGTGGGCCACGATGCGCACAGACGCACCGACGGGGGCACGATTTGCGGGCAGTACTTATATCCATATACAGAGCGTCGTGGACTTTTTGGGCAGAGATGCCGCAACGCCGAGGCGCACTGGATATGGATAATTTCAAGCCTCTTGGGGCCAGATTTTTATCCATATCCAGAGCGTCTACTGTTTCTGGGGAAGAGAACCCAAGAATCCAAGACGCACCGGATGTGGATATAACTATCGCCCGCACGATTCTCTGGCACGAGTGGTCTGTTTGTTGCGGGCGGGCAGGAGCCGACCTGCGCGGCTGCGGCTCCCTCCCGCGGCCGCCTCTCCCTCCCGCGCGCGCGCCCCTGGACCGCAGGGCGACTCCCGCGTGGGCAGCGGCTCCGACATGGGCGGCTCGAGCAACGGGACCCTGCTCCGCGCCGTGGCGCCACGCCCCGCGATTCTTGGGGGGGGGGGAGACGGCGGGTCGTGCTGGGGAGGGGGGGGAGAAGGATCAGGGGTGCTGCCAGAAGTGAGTCGGGCGTGTCCCTCTCCAGGGGGAGTCTTCGAGAATAGTAGAAAGGCAGTCTGGGGATGACTGTTCTATGATTTGTGGATCCATTCGGCGTATATTTTTCCCCACATGCTTCGTGGGGTTCTGGTTTTCTTCCCACCCGCGCCGCACCCGCGTCTCACCCACACCCGCCCTCCTCCCCTCCTCCTCCTCCTCCTCCTCCTCCCCCTCCTCCTCGCGCACACAGCACAGCGCAGCGCAGCGCAGCGCAGCACAGCACAGCACAGCACAGCACAGCACATCACAGCGCAGCGCACACAGCACAGCACAGCACAGCACAGCACCGCACACACACATGGCTTGGCACGTGCGGCACATTCTCGACGCCATAGGGGTCGTCCACGGCACAGCAGGCGTGGCAGTTTTGCACAGCACACCTGCACAGCACAGCACAGCATAGCACAGTACAGCACACCGCAGCACAGCACGGCACGGCACAGCACAGCACATCGCAGCACAGCTCAGCACAGCATAGCACACAGGGCAGGCGCGCAGGGCACGGCACGGCAGAGCGTGGCAGGGGTGGCACTTTCTCGACACCACAGGGGGTGCGCAGGGGGTGGTCCCTGAGCTCGGCCGCTATGCACGACGGTTGTCCAGGCACAGCAGGCGTGGCACTTTCTCGACACCTGGGGGTGCGCAGGGGGTGGTCCCTGAGCTCGGCCGCTATGCACGACGGTCGTCCAGGCACAGCAGGCGTGGCACTTTCTCGACACCATGGGGGTGCGCAGGGGGTGGTCCCTGAGCGCGGCCGCTATGCACGACGGTCGTCCAGGCACAGCAGGCGTGGCACTTTCTCGACACCACAGGGGGTGCGCAGGGGGTGGTCCCTGAGCTCGGCCGATATGCACGACGGTCGTCCAGGCACAGCAGGCGTGGCACTTTCCCGACACCAGAGGGGGTGCGCAGGGGGTGGTCCCTGAGCTCGGCCGCTATGCACGACGGTCGTCCAGGCATAGCAGGCGTGGCATGCTGGTCCCTGAGCGCGGCCGCTATGCACGACGGTCGTCCAGGCACAGCAGGCGTGGCATTTTCTCGACACCACAGGGGGTGCGCAGGAGGTGGTCCCTGAGCTCGGCCGCTATGCACGACGGTCGTCCAGGCACAGCAGGCGTGGCACTTTCTCGACACCATAGGGGGTGTGCAGGCGGTGGTCCCTGAGCTCGGCCGCTTTGCACGACGGTCGTCCAGGCACAGCAGGCGTGGCATTTTCTCGACACCATCAGGGGGTGTGCAGGGGGTGGTCCCTGAGCTCGCCGCTATGCACGACGGTCGTCCAGGCACAGCAGGCGTGGCACTTTCTCGACACCATAAGGGGGTGCGCAGGGGGTGGTCCCTGAGCACGGCCGCTATGGACGACGGTCGCCCAAACACAGCAGGCGTGGCACTTTCTCGACACCATAGGGGGTGCGCAGGGGATGGTCCCTGAGCGCGGCCGCTATGCACGACTGTCGTCCAGGCACAGCAGGCGTTGCACTTTCTCGACACCAGAGGGGGTGCGCAGGGGGTGGTCCCTGAGCTCGGCCGCTATGCACGACGGTCGCCCAGGCACAGCAGGCGTGGCTTTTTTTCTCGACACCACAGGGGGTGCGCAGGGGGTGGTCCCTGAGCGCGGCCGCTATGCACGACGGTCGTCCAGGCATAGCAGGCGTGGCACTTTCTCGACACAATAAGGGGTGCGCAGGGGGTGGTCCCTGAGTTCGGCTGCTATGCACGACGGTCGTCCAGGCACAGCAGGCGTGGCATTGTCTCGACCTCACAGGGGGTGTGCAGGGGGTGGTCCCTGAGCTCGGCCGCAATGCACGACGGTCGTCCAGGCACAGCAGCGTGGCACTTCTCGACACCATAGGGGGTGCGCAGGGGGTGGTCCCTGAGCTCGGCCGCTATGCACGACGGTCGTCCAGGCACAGCAGGCGTGGCAATTTCTCGACACCATAAGGGGGTGCGCAGGGGGTGGTCCCTGAGCTCGGCCGCTATGCACGACGGTCGTCCAGGCACAGCAGGCGTGGCACTTTCTCGACACCAGAGAGGGTGCGCAGGGGGTGGTCCCTGAGCTCGGCCGCTATGCACGACGGTCGTCCAGGCACAGCAGGCGTGGCACTTTCTCGACACCATAGGGGGTGCGCAGGGGGTGGTCCTTGAGCGCGGCCGCTATGCACGACGGTCGTCCAGGGCATAGCAGGCGTGACACTTTCTCGACACCATGGAGGGTGCGTAGGAGTTGGTCCCTCACGCACGCAAACACATAAGATTTAACTTAAGTATGTGGGGTTCCTCGGTAGCGTAATTCTGTATGCCCAGTTTTTCGTCCAAAATCCGCCTGCAGGGGGACATGCCCGACCTAATGCTGGACGTGCCCCTGGCCCAAGGTGCCCCCCCAGGATTCCCAGGGATCGGCGGCGGGCGCGGGGGGGAAATGAGAAGGGGCGGGAATTCCGATGCTTCTGAGAAGTTTCCGGACTTCTGAGAGGGCTTCTGAGAAGTTCAGTTTGTGTTCGAAATAGGCTAAGGAGACCTCTCAGAAGTCCCCCGGACTTCTAAGAAGTCCCGCGGCCTTCTGAGAAGGCCTTCTCCTTCTCATTTCCCCCCTGGGCTCGTCGCCTAAGGGAGGCCCTAGAGGAGGCGTCCAGGGCGCGTTCCCTCGAGGCACAGGGGGCGCACGTGGGGGCTCCAAGGTCCAGCGAGAGAAAATATCTGCGGGCACCTTGGGCCAGGGGCACCTTTATAGCAGCCCCAGGAAGGAGGGGCGGGGGCGACGGCCAAGGCGAGGATCAAGGCTCATGATGTTCCAGCCTGCTTGAGCCTTGATCGCCAGAAAGGATTTCGAGCACCGGGAGAGTAACGAAGCCGAGGGCACCTTGGGCCAGGGGCACTTTTCAGACGCGAAGAGAGGACGCTACAGGTTCCGAAAGAGCGCACTGCGCGAGGGTTCGTATCACGCGGCCGGTCTCGCAGATCGAGGGGCCGTGTTCATGCACACAGTTGGGCGCGTATGTCTTCTTGTTGGCTTCCTACCTTTAGCAACCCCTGAGAGGAGGGGCGGGGGCGACGGGGAAGAGGGTCAAGGCGAATGTGGAGGGGGAGAGGAGGTTGCGAAGTCGGCCCGCATCGGTGTGATCTCCGTCCACGTTTTTTTCGCCGAGGTGGTCGGCTCCACCAGAAGCCTGTGCACTAACTGGGCGGGGCGCCCCGCGAGCAGGGCTTTGTCCCCGTGGCCGTCCCCCATTTCCTCAGCCGTTTTGCTCAGGACAGTGTGTGCGAGGTTGCTCTAACTGTTCGAGTTGTGAAAGCCGAATTTCGAAGCGGCATCAACACCTGGAGCCGGTGACGTCTGGCACTAGCGACTCATAGGACACCCGCTAGCCTTCATGGAAGTGCGCGTGTGGCTGCAACGATAGAGGTCTCTTCTTGTGCGAGAGCTCACGCCACTGTCGAGGGTCATGGTGAGGCAACAAGCGCGCCACAAGAACGCCTTGCAGTAGTTGCGCACGGCTGATCTCTCGCAATGTAGGGGCTCGGCCGCCGACATTCGAGCAGTTGGCCCAGGGGATTGCGCACATGAAGCCCCTTCAGAGACCCATCGAGGCGCGGCATCGTCCGGTCGTTGAGGTGAGGCGATGACCCAGAGGGACAGTGCAATCCCCCAGCGTCTCAGGGGGTGCTTGGCGCAGCGCAGTCTCCCGCTCCTGCGACAGCGTGGCACGACGGTATGGATCATAGTCATTCTGTACACCACGTGGACGCAGAGCACCCGTCTCCTGCACAGGCCGTCCGGCTGTTGCCTCGAGGCTGACGCTTCGCACATGGAACAGAAGCGGAAGGCCGACGTTAGGAATGATGAGGCGCTCGACGTGAATGACGGTAGGCAGTTCTATTCATCGTGTACTGTCTTGGCAATCTCGTTTCTCACGCGTTTCAAGGCAACGTGGTTGCCAGCGATTCCTATTGATCGCATAAGGACATCGAGGCATCGAGGAAGTGTCTTGTTCTGTTGGCCCTCCTTTGTCGCACTGCAGCCTCGGCGCCGTATGGGCTCGTATTCGGCGTCGTTGCCGTATTTTGGCCGCGCTAACCTCGGCGACGGGCTGTCTTGGGGCGGCGACGGTTTGACGAGGCCAAGAATGCATGGTATAAAATGTTTATGTGCCAGTTGAGATGAGGAGATGATTCAGACGAAAAGGGTATCCAATCGGCAGATCTGATATTGCACAGACGAGAGATAGGGAGAAGACATGTACGTTAGGGTTGTGTCGTGCCGATGTGGCGGCGACCCTAGCACTGGCGGTGGCGGCGCTGGCCTGGACACGGCCGACATCAAACGACCTACACTGTCGGAGCGCCACTAACGTTCAAGGTTGACATCCATGCGGTGTCAAAAACCGACGCCGACGTCGCCAGGACACGAACCTGCCGTACGATGAGTCGGAATCGGCCGGAAGGAGATGCGCAAGAGCGCTCTGCGGGAGACACGGAGAACAGGAGGACCCCAGCTTCAAGCTACTCCCACCCTCTCATTGCACAGGGGGGGGGCTTGAGAAGCTCCTCCCCTACCGCCCTTTGGAAAGCCGGGGCCTCCCTTTGAAAGGGGGGGTGGTCGGAAGCCCCCCCCATCCTTTTTCGATGCTGGGTAAGCCCGGGCTGCCCTGTGCAAAGGGGGGGTGGCTTCGGAAGCTACCCTCCCCCCCTCCCCAGCTGTAAAGAAGGAGAGGCCTTCGGCAGCTAGACCACACCCCCTGAAGGCTTCCAGGGTGAGCCCGGACTGACATTACTAAGGGGGGGGGCTTCAGAAGCTGCCCCCCTCTCCTGTCACTTTGCGATGGGTTGTCAGTCAAGGGTGTGGGGGGGCTTCCGAATCTACTCCCCCATCCCCC